AAGTGCCTGGCCCCTTAAAAAAAAACCCCCCCCAAAAAAAAAAAAAAAAAAAAACTGCAGTCAGCCAAGTGGGAGTCCAGCTGTCTTAGCCACATCACCACCTGCCTGCCCCTTTCCACGAATTTTTTTTCTTTATTTTCCATGAATGTTTAAGACTCTATATATACTATATAGGTATACTATACATATATACTACACACACACACATATATACACACATTTCTTTTTTAGTTTTTGCTATAGGGTGCCATGTACTCATATGAGAGACACACACAGAGAAGGGAAATGAAAAATCACCCCCTGGTGGGGACGTGGCCACACCATAATCCCTTTTCCATTCTCTATAGATTTGGGGTACACACGTACCACGCATGAGCCTAGCATGTCTTCATGCCAACTGCAGAGTCCTCTCTGTGGGATCCAGCCACCTTAACCACCATGTCACCTAGCTGGCCCAACCCTCATACGTATTTCATTGATGACATTTCTGCTTGCATTTCAGTGCCAAGTGATCCCAGACGACTTTCTTGTCCCTTGTGCTGTCATGGGGACAGCTAGACACAACCTCTTCTGTCTCCATGACAGATGCTGAACACTGACTAAACCCAAACAGGCAAGTTGTAGATAACCAACATTTGTACATATTTCATTTTTTTATTACCAATCAAAAATAAATTCCATATATTGTTTAGCAAATATTATCATTGTTTTGTGACAAAAGACACAAGAGTCATAACAACAAAACTCCCCGAGAGTCAAACTCATAACAATGCCAAAATAAATCACAAAAATATACAAATTAAAATCTTATGCAAAATAAATATGAGTTATTTGCTACGGTGGCTGTCATCTGCCTACCCATGTGGATGCCATTTGTGAAGGTCCCCCTTGCAGGAAGATGCAAGGGGTGGGCCAGTCCCAGGGTAGGGCTCAGCCCAAGAACCAGAGGTTGGAATAGGAAGTGAAAAATTGCACTGGGAAGAGGAAGTCATCGGACCAGTAATATTTGGGAAGAATTATGACCCTCTGAAAGAAGTGATTATAAACGGGGGAGGGTGGGGCGGTGGGACATCTGTTGGTAGTAACCATGTGTGCAAAGAGGTAGCTGTGAAGTGTGTGCACCTGCTCCTTTTGCACACACATACCCACTTAGTTCAGGCCAATGCACTCTGCTCCACCTGGCACGTGGGTCTCACAATGCAGATGCCTGTGGCCGGCTTCACTCTCGAAAGGAACATGACCTTGCCAGCTCCCAGGATTCAGGAGCAAGTTGCTCCTCTAGAAAATGAAGGAATTTCCCAAGCAGGGAACACGGGTCTGGTATCTGATTCCTTATGGCTGAGAACCCATGGGTGTCACCACCTGGCTTCCGAGAGTCAGTTCTGTTTCTGGGGAAGACCTCAGATGGGCCGGGGAAGGCAGAGTTGGTGCAAGGCATTCCAGGTCCTGAGAATTAGGATTCTCTAGGCCCCCGGAGAGCAGAGCACTTGGGAAAACAGGACTCCACTGGCTGAGGAAAGGAGTGACTACAGAACGCCCAGGCGGAAGGTCTGCAGAATCTCCCTGGCCTGTTCCACCCAACGGAGGGGCCAGCGTGGACCTTGGTCCCACAGCCTTCCCCACGATGGGAAGCCGAGGGCTCAGGGACAGGGCGTGATTGAGGTCCAGGTGAAAGGCGCTGGAGCGGGGTTTCACAGGGTAGAGCTCTCAGGGTACAGTACCACCAGCTTCAGCAAGGGTCAGAAGGACCTCTCGCGCTGGGACCACACGCGCAGGGGAACGGGGCTGCCAGCTGCATGCTTTCGCAGGAACTCTCCTTTTCTGGGGCTCCAGAAGTGGGTGAACAAGGTCAGGTGACCCTCAGCCAGCCACAGAGCAAAGGGTATGCACCTGCTTTAAGTGGCTTCCAACATGTCCTCTTGTCCCCAACCTCCAAGAGGGATTGAGGCTTGGGGATCAGAAATAAGGGAGTGGAAGGAAGGGCTTTGTGGGTCACCAACAGCCTTGACTCTCCGTGTGGGGTGGGGAGGTGGCATGAACCTACAGACCAACAACACGGATGCCTGTGACCAGATTCACTCCTGGAACCAAAAGGAATAACCCAGACAAGTCACCTTCCCGCTCGGGGGAAACCTTTGGTAAAAGTGTGGGCAGGGCCTAGGGAGCAGGGCTGAGAGACTCTAAAGGTCTGAGACCCTGCCTAACACTCCGAGTCAGTCCCCTTACCGGGGAAGGTGTCCAGAGGGGCAGATGCGAGGTGGAAGGAGAGCCATCAGCTGAGCCTCGACTCACCAGGAGAGCCTGTCGGCAGAGTTCTGGGAGGTTCCTGGGTCCGGCAGCTGACAGGAGTAGACGTGCTCCTCTCCATAGCTGGATCGTGTCCCTCGTCACAGTCCCGGCAGCCCTCGGCCTCAGACGAGCCTCGGTGCGTGTGTCCAGACAGCTGATCTCAGTGCCGCTTGGTTCTTTGCTTCCTGGAAAAAGCTGTCTTTCTCCCAAGAGACAGTCCTTCCCCAGCAAGCTCTGGGAGCCCGCCCTCAGTGGAGCAGGAGGAGGGGTGAGCGCCCCAAGTCAGGGATGCAGCTGGAAGGGCATGCTGGGAGCAGATTATGGCTATTGCTTCCCAGGCTGGACCTTCCCCTTTAAATGTTTTTGCAAAAAAAAAAAAAAAAATTATTTAAATAAAGTTCGTTAACCCTGTCTTCCCTTCCCCAAATGATATTTAAAAAGAGGGGCAATGAGCCTAGTTTAGAAATTCTCTGGATGGCAAACAGCCCGTGCTCACGGTGGCCCCCTGTCCCACCAGCCTCAGGCTGGGCAGCCGCTCCCTCAGAGCCGTTCAGAGGTCCCTG